GCATGTTGGGTTGAGGCATGAGATAAAACAGAAAGGATTTTAAGGCCTCTTTTTTTGTCAGGAATTTCATTTTTATCCTTTAACACATTATATTTTAGTATGTTTACAATTTTTTTTTGGGAGGGGGACGTCATTTAAGTATTTTTAACAAAATAAAATCAAGGACGACCCGGATGTATATCTAGATGATTATGCGTAAATGAGCTGATGCCGCATTTCCAAATTTGACTTCTCCCTCTCACGGTTAGGAAAAATCCACAGAAGAGCCGCACCTTCTTATAAACCACATGGTTCAAAACATCACACAAACCTAGTAGCTTATAGTCCGGAAAATACGGTAATCTTGTCCCACCCAGCTAACATTAAACAATTGTGATAAAGTAACTATGATTAATTAGATACAAAAAAAATGTTATATTATTTTAAAAAGTGTGCAATCTGGTTGGTTCAGGACTATTCATGAAATATTACAACCAGTTACTGTTTTCAGGGGGTAAAGGTTGCACTCAACACAGTTGGATTCTCTTAAAAAAAAATGACTTCAAAACGATAACCAGATTTAAAATGGAAGAAACAAGGGAACATTAAAGCTTTTAGTTTAAGTCTGACACCAATATTTTTGAGAAATATACAGACTATGGTCTGGTTCCAGTGACTAAACAATAAATAAGCCTCACAAATAAACTATCTGTCAAGAGGAGTGGTCAAATATTTAACTGGAATTATGAGAAAAGATTTCTGCATTGTGTGAATGGACAGCTTGCTAAATACTTCCAAATATAGCGGATTGAGTCCGTTTAATTTAGGAAAAAATGAAGAGCAAATTTAATTTGAGGACCTGATGAGTATCAATAGTGTGTTCGATAAAGAACTGAACTTTTACAGAAGGTGTTTTTTGTTGTTTGTTTTCCTGGCATGGCTGTGTTACTCACTCAAGTTATAACAGTGAGTCAGTTCTTGGTTTGTAACTGGATCTGGATCCCGCTCTGAATGCAGAGAAGTGGAGAAAAAGTGACAAAGGTGTGATTAGATACCCCCCACCCCAAATTCACACTGCTTGTTTGTTGGCAGATGGCTCTTTTGTCAGACTAATTTGTTCAACAGAATAACCAGGTTGATAATTACCTGCTGCTTTTGAGGCTGTTCAGCTATTGTTGTGTTAAAAAATATCATATACTTAAAATTGAAGAAACATTTCAGCAACCATATGTTGTTGTTTTTTTTTTTATTAACACGTGGGTTGGGACACACTGGCATATAGAATCAAGCCATACTAAGCAAAGCTTCAATGCAAATCAATCTTTTTCCAGCTTAGGCCAATTTTGAATATATAAAAACAACCATGCCTCCTTTTACTAGATCTACCTGAATGGCTCCCTTGCATCAGATTAGGCCCCCACTCATCAGGGACGCAAATAAACATGATAGGGTATTAAGAGTCTTGAGCGGAAAGGGGTGTGACGTGGGTGTTCGGTTTCATGTCAAACCACCTGGTGAAGGGGCTCTTAAGGCGCGCAGGATTAGAGTGCCAACGCACCACAGACTTCACTCTCTGAAAGAGGCCTCCAAGACAAGTCCGTGTTGATTTTTGGAGAGATTTCAGCAGAGAAATCTGTATGGAGAGCAGAATCAGGCCGCTCGCCATGGCAGGACATCCCGCCAGCCCGCTGGGAGGCCTCCCGATGTCCCCTTCCCTCCTGCGCCACCCACCTCTCTTTCTCCGTGCCTGTAACCCCGCGCTGGAGAGGGGCTACCCGAGGACCCCGAAGTGCGCCCGTTGCAGGAACCATGGGGTAGTCTCGGCGCTGAAGGGCCACAAGCGATTCTGCAGATGGAGAGACTGCGTGTGCGCAAAGTGCACCCTGATCGCGGAGCGGCAGCGGGTGATGGCGGCGCAGGTGGCGCTCCGGAGGCAGCAGGCGCAGGAGGAGAACGATGCGAGGGAGATCCGGCTCCTGTACCCGCCCACGGGCATCGAAGGGCAGCCGGGGATCAGCCAGGGGTCGGCTGTAGGGCGAGGGGTGCCAGCAGCGAACTGCAACACTCCACCCGCTCCAAGCTTTGACGTTTTTGGTGCTCAAAACTATAAAGGCGGTGAGTTTTAATCAATTTTCATGGTTTATCAGACATTTATGAGTTGGTTATATATAGGTTTATATGATTAGAAATGGTTTGCAAATGAATGCGTAAAGTAAATTCACTTTAAGGCTTTTACGCATGAAATGACGCACACCAGTCCAAGGTGTTCTGAGGCCCCAAGCCTCTTTTTTTTTTTGGTTTTGGGATAAATAGATACTTGTTTTGCATCTACCTAGGCATGCATATTTAGTTACTTAAATACAAATGTTTAATGTCATACCCTGCTAACATAAAAAAAAAGTTTTTAAAGTATAAGCTAAAAATGTTAAAGTAGATGCACCAAATGCATGACTTTTTTTCAGTGGGCATTCCAGGATATGACGATTTCTCTGCAGATAGTGAACAGAAAATGAAAATAAGAGAGGATGGAGGCATCTAATATTTCTATTTTGTTCACAAGAAACAGCTTTCTCATCTACATGCATTTTGATTTATATAATCATAACAGAACTTATGTAGGCTACCAGTAACAGGAGGTAATAATTTAAATATGACTTTTTTTAAAGTTCTGTTTATTGTTCTCTGTAAACCCCAAAGTATTTACATCCTCTGTGCTGCAGTAACATTGTTTGATTACATGCCATTCATAAACCTCCCCCTTTTCTTTATGTTTCAGATGAGAAAGTGAGCAAATACAGCATTTACAGCGGATTTCTGGGTCAGCCGCTCTTTGCATCCCAGAATCCTCGAGTTCTCTCCCCAGTTGACAGGAAGGAGGCGTCTCCCAGCAAGGATAACAGCTCCTCGCTTGCCAGCGATTGTGGGAGTCCATCACCGCCATCTGACCGGCTGTCTGATCACGCTCAGAGTCCGCAGAGGTCGCTTCCCTCCTCTGATCCAGAGTCTGGGAGCGAGTCTGAGAAACCCAAGGAGTTGTCACACCTGGACCGTGACCCTGCTGACTTCATGGCCAAGATCTTCCCTCATCAGAAAAGGGACACCCTGGAATCCATGGTGAGAAATTGTACAGGAGACATTGTGAAATCGATTGAGTTGGTTCTGAACGCTAAGGAGAAAAAAAATGAATCTGGCAGTGCATCCCTGCCCCGTCTGCATGGCTCAGTGCTCAAGCCTGCTGTTGGACTGTCAGGAGCGCTGAGTTCTTCAGGAACCAAGTCTGCTTTCTCCCCCCTACACATCCACCCAGCCCCCAGTGGGGACGGCCTGTACGGGCTAAGTCCTCGCCTCGGTGTGAGTCCTCTACAGCTGGCCTATTCCTCTGCCAGCACCGGTCTGGGCGGCCTCATGTCTCCATACATGACTTCAGGTTTTATGCCACTGTTGACCCTGCGTCCACCTTTGGACTCACATTCTTTCCCAGGAATGATCAGAGACTTTTCTTACGTCCAGAGTAAGGATTCTCTGTGCAGTACAACGGGCCTTTACACACGACTGAACAGTGACAAATAATGTACTTCAAATTGTATAACATGACAAATGTTGTTTTTGTTTCAATTTCATTTTTAAAGCTGAGTAATGAAATTAATTCTTACATGTGAATTATTATTTTTTTTTATTGAAAATTCTGTATAGAAATGGCTTCAATGTAATAAAGATCTTTTGTAATATGTTTCTGAATCTATTTATCCTTACTCCAGAACTTCAATTTTTGAATAATGTTCATATCCTTTAAGATTTCCCAAAGCTTTTAAAAGTTTTACATTAGAAGGATAACTTTACATACCTTTTTCATTATAAAAACCTCATATATGTTGAATGCATTTTCATTCCACCTCTGCTCATTAACTATGTAGAACAAACTTTTACCCAATAACAGCTGCCAGCCTTGCACATCTAGAGACTGGTTTTCTGGCAATAATGAAGACGCTTACTCTAAAAAAGATATCTGAACATATTTTTTATTTTGTTTGTCCAACAGATTGCTAGATAGAGGTTATAACTCATTGTCTGCTTAAAATGTATAAATATCTAATCCTCTCCACAGCAGCTTGCATTCATGAAGCTTGTGCCTTACAGTATGTGAAACATCTTACAAGCTATTGAAGGTGCCCTATACTGCCCCCCCAAAGCTGCTAGCTGTTTTTTGGTCTTCATAAAGGTTTTTATGTATATTCTTTGTTATATTAGATTGCAGTAGTAGTTTACAAAGGTCAGGAGGTACATAAATTGCCTGTATTTTATCCTTTCCCAAATATGCCATTTAGGGACTCATTATATCTGCGAAGTACCACAAATCTGTCAAACCATCATAAGGAATCCATCATAAAGTCAACAGATTTCATCATCTAAAGTGCACACTTTCTTTGTAAAAAATAATCTGCAAAACAACGTTTAACTTTCCTTCCATTTTTAAATTACTGATTTAGGTTGACTTAGTCTACATAAAACCACTTTTAAGTTTGTGATCTTGGTGTCAAAAAATGTATACTCTAATGGGGTGACCTCACTTTTACGGCAGCGTAAAAAGACTAGATGACATTTGTTTTTGTTTTTCTTTACCCAGTTTTATTGATTATTGAAAACAAACAAAACAAAAAAAACAAAAAAAAAAAAACAGATCTACATTCTTACTTAATAGTTATCAAAATAAACCAGCAGGTGAGTTTTAATAACCCTGCTGTTATATTAAAAATATTGAGTTCAATGAAAGGAGGAGGAAGAAAAACAAGAGTAAATTGTGTAAAATTTTCTGTAGCTGTGAAATTAAAATCGAGTTTAAATATTTTTTTGTAGCATTTTTCCTATTTTTTGTGCAATATTATTATTTTTCTTTCCCAGCATCTCCTCCTGCGGCGTTTCTCATCCCGGATTGGTCCAATCCCTACCCTTTCGACCAATAGAAAGCCTTGGAAGTGTGACGTATCGATATGTTTCAGGAAGTTGCAACATGGAGGGTTTAAACGCAGGTTGTGCATCCCGAGTTTGAAACATCCTTGAGCGGGATTTTAATGAGGACTCTCTGACAGCAGGCGGTGAACATTTCTATCCTCTGAGATGCGTCTCCACGTCATCACCGCAGCTTTTCTCTGGGCTGCGTTTGTGGACTCGAGGAAAATCAGAGGAATATCTTCATCCTGTGAGTTCAGGTCATCGATTTAGCTACAATCCAGCCCGCTGAAATCATATTCATCACACTGACACGCTTTCAATCCGAATATATACTCGTTTTAACACCACTAAATGTGTCAATTACAGAAAAAATATAATTTACTGGCATAAATATCAATATATGACGTTAGGTGACTGTATGCATTGCTTTATGTGTTTATATTTTTAGCTGAGGTTCATTTATTTTTACAGATAAAAGGTTCTACAGGGAGAGGAAGTCCTTTTTGTGCATAGATGGGTCAAGAATGATCCCCTTCGAGCAAGTGAACGACGACTACTGCGACTGCGCAGACGGCTCTGATGAACCAGGTAAACAACAGGAGGCGTTATTCAGATTGGAGGACTGTGCAGCTTCCAGCTGCAGGGACAGGAGTTTGACTTTGACCAAGTTTCAAAATCAAAATTTAAAATTTAAAATAGTAAAAATATTAAAGTTTTCTTTTATTCTTGCATTTTGTTTCAATTCAATTTCAATTAAATTCAGTTTATTTCTATAGCGCCAATTCACAACACATATCATCTCAAGGCTCTTTACAGTTCACCAAATCATACAGTCAGATTGATTCAAAGGTTTCTAAGGAAAACCAGTTGATTGCATTGACTCATTGACTACTCTGCAATCCCTCACACTAAGCATGCTTGTAGCGACAGTGGAGAGGAAAAACTCCCTTTTAACAGGACGAAACCTCCAGCAGAACCAGGCTCAGTGTGAGCGGCCATCTGCCGAGTCCGACTAAGGTTCAAGGAGACAGAAGCAGACATACAGAAAGCAAATATAAAAGGCGGCCCCATCCAGGAAACACACTTCCAGGCAGACGAGCTCTGAGACAACTTCCATGTCAGATACGCTTGACATGGCTTTGTCAAGCTGCTGCCTAACTTTGTGAGGCAGGAAAAGAGATGAAGAGGATGAAGAGAGCACATACAGCCAGTCACAGTCAGAGAAACAGGACTACACTGAAATACAGCCCGATCTCCATCATCTATAAACAGGGTGTTGATGGCAGCAGCACAGCTGATATTTCTCTCCAGGGTGGTGTCACAGCTCCTTTAATTTAGATGAATAATGTTTTCACCAGCTGCTTTGGATATTTAACCAGCATGAGGCTTAAAGGTAACTACATACTGAAATAGCTATTGAAATAAAGCTAATGATTTGACACTACCTTTATATTCCCTTAGGTTTGTTTGATACACCTACAGTTGTGTTTGAAAGTTTACATACCCTTCCATTAAAGACAGGAAAAAAATAAGAGTCCAGTAAAGTAAGTTTAAATTGACAGAAGTAATAAATAAAAATGATAAAAAATAAAAATCATGTAATATATATATATATATATATATATATATATATATAGAATAGACAAAAACTCCTTTGTTGTTTAGATATGCACAATATTTTTCTAATAATCACCAGTGTCAGAACTAAATTTAAGATACATTATTGTTTGTAAAGCTAGACTTTTCAATACCCCCATAGATGCCTAGTAAACAGTTTATAGATCGGTTAGTATATTAATCTGTAAACATATTTTATCTCAATCAAAAGTATTATTATGCATTGAATATAAAATTCTGTTGTGCAAATATTTGTGCTTACATAGTGGTAAATTAGACTGAATTGTTGAGTGTAAGCAGTTCTTAATAAAACCTATAGTTGAACAGTTTAGACTCCCTATTTAGCAAGAAAATGCTCAGTTTGTCTTTATTTCCCCCTAATAATGCATAATAAAGACTAATGAATTAGTTGCACTGTTTATTGATATATTAATAACACATCCCTAAACTCTTTTTAACCATCTATGGGAAATATTTTCTAGAAAGAAAAAAAACCCCAGCTTCTAAGCATGGTGATGTTGTATTTCATGCCAAGGTTGCCACTCACAAGATGGCAGATGTCCCTGGGCAGACAAAGCAAAGAAAAAGGTTAAAAGCCTGGAAAAACTAGTTTGAGGCAGAACTCTAATAGAATCTATAAAAACTCTAGCTCATATTTTCTGCCCTCTTTTTCTAATATCACAGAAGAAAAAAAAAGTTAGCAATCAAATTGAACACTGAAGTTCACAGAGACAAAGGTTCAGAAATATGAATCTTGGGCTTAATTTAGATGCATCAAATTGGTAAGATCAGCATATTTGTGTTCATTCATTAATTTTACTGCTTTGAGGATGTCTAATTGTACACTTAATAATAGGAATATATTTCTTTGACAATAAATGGGTAGATATGTTTAAAGTTGAGACTAATTCCTTCCACATTTGTTTAAATTAACATAGAGTTCCATACATGCTGTTTTCTGATGTTTAGAAATATTTCCATCAGAGTAACCTCCACATTTTTCCATCATCAAGGGCCTGCTGTTATTCTGGATAAATCTTTGTTTCTGGGGTTGAAACAAATAATTGGATTAATGCTGATTAATTGAGTAATTAATTAATTGTTAAATGGAGTATAGAGACTCTAAAACATGCATTTAGTTGACAGAGTGACCCACTTAGAGCAGTAATTATATTGGAATAGAAATAAAATGTTTAAGCATTTTGCATTCAAGATTAAAATAACTTTCTTTTGTTTCAATACGTTCTATCCAGAATGTCTCAAGTGGAAGGGTTTGTTTCACCTGGTTTAATTTCATAAAAAAGTCTTATTTAAGGAACCTGGCTATCCGATTATTCATCAAATAACCAAAAAAATTGAAAACAGATTAATTGATTTGCAAAAATATCTTTAGTAGTTTCCTTTTCTTGTCAGAATTGCTGGAAGTTATTCCAACTAATGATTTTTATCTGTTTTTTAATGTGTATATGTTCAGCGACCTGTAAGGGACCAGTACTACTATCCATACAGTCCCTCAGTCTCATACTTCTGCATCCATGCTTTACAGTTGTTAGTTTTCTTAGGTTGAAGATTTTCACTTTTTTTCTCGCTTCTTATTAAAACCAAATTTAAATTAATTCCAAAAAGCTTCTCTACTCATTTAAACTTCAGCTGATCATGGAGGGGGTTGTTTTAAAGTATGCACCTCCTCCATATCAGTCATTGGATTTTATATTTTCAGCTCATGTTTGGTTTAAATTCAGTGATTCGTGGCTTGATTTTTCAGACTGATCCATATCCTTTTGTCTGTGGTGACACCGTGGAGTGAAGCCTGACAAATATGGCGCTCCAAGAGGACGATATCCCTCTCTCATCTCTAAACCTTTTTGGGGATCTAAGGAGAGCCAAAACATCTCTTTTAAGATGGTCCTAACCTGTAACAAATCGATTATGCCAGGGCTTTATTAATTGCATTAAAAACTGTTTTTAATTTCTCTGCAACTGTACAGCAACGTTCTTCCAAATGCATTACAGCCGTTTGTTGGATCATCATTCCACTCTGGGGAAACAATGGGTTCAGTTCATGCAGGTTGAAGGGATTATGTGGACTCTATACTGTTTTTTCTATATGTAAATATAAGAAAATCAACGTAGGCGTATGATGTTGAACATTACTTGATATTACTATGTAAAAATATTGGATTCTGCTTAAACTCGCTTTTCCTCTTTCAAAATTTATCCTCTAATGATAATATAGGATGAGGACATGAACCCTATGGAAATGTTTTACCTTTTTTATGATGAGCTGACTTTTTGAATGCAATGTTTGTGTATTTAAGAAAATTAAAAGATAATTTTCTCTGATTTAAAGAAAGAAAAAAAGAGAAATCAGTTTAAAGCTTTTGCTTCAATTTAAAAAGTTTTCTGTAAATGGGCTCTGAGGCATGTGGTCTCCTGATAGGGTCGTTAATAAACTGTGCCATTGCTGGCATCAGTGTAAGTACTATAATAACCCTCTTTCACCGCTAAGCACAGGGGGAGAGGAACAAGTAGGAGGTTAATGATGCCAAACCGAGCTCGTGTTGAGTGTGCCTATATCATCAGCCCTGCAGAGTGCTGGAGTTTTACATCAGCTAAAGACTAGTCAAATAAGCCATAGTAAAGGTGATGCTTCAATAGACCTTTGCATCGTTAACATATAACTGTGACCGTTTTATTTCATAAATGTATTCCATATTCAAAATAAGGTTGGAATTAGTTTAGAATTTGCATCCAAACCAGGCGTAAAGGTCAGATTATTCCACAGAAATATATTTTTAACTTTACAGAGTTGGTAGGAACAGTATCAGACTGTTGCCTTTGTTGAAAAGATGGAAGGAAAGATTAAAGTATAAATCAAAAATAGATATAAACGGCAAGAAAAAGGAAGAGAAACACACGTATGTAAAGCTCGATGGGCATGCAAATACCATGGAAAATAAAGGTACAGCCCTCGCACACTTCTGCCTCTGTTTAAAATGTTAATAGGTCCTTAAGATGAGTTGGTCTTTTTTTTACTGTAGCTGTATAGTCCATGCTTTATTTATATAAAAATAAAAAATGAGTTTTTTAATTTTCTGCAAGGAAGAAAATGCCATGTGCAGAAATAATTTCTCTTTACAAAAAGGACCTTTTTCAGTCGATCAGTCCACAGCACTCCCCTTTTCTGATCATAATCCTGACCTAACACAGAGCATTATTTCTCCCAATCACTGCTTAAAATGAGAAATGTAGCAAATTTTGCAAATGTTATTTATTTTTACTAGCCAGATTCCATAAACGGTACCATATACAGTTGCAGCAATTATCCAATCCAATCCAATCCAATTTTGTTTGTTAAGCACTTAAAAACAACCACAGCTGACCAAAGTCCTGTACAGAAAAAGTAAATAAAGCAAGAAAACAAAACATAAAACGGTACAGATAAAAGTAAACAGCTAAAACATGGGTAAAAATAACATTCACATGATAAAATCAATAAAATTGGGTAAAAGATAAAAGAAACAAAAGGAAAAAATGGGTGTTAAGAGCCAAAGAGAAAAGGTGGGTTTTGACTAGAGATTTAAAAAAGAGTCAGAGTCCTGTCTGTTATCAAATACAATTATAGTAAACAACTGGTTTTTTGACATAGAGCAATGACTAGAAACTGGAATAAATTTTTCCCTGAGGGCAATAAAGGATGCAGAAGCAAACCCTGCATGTGGACATCACTCATTCTCCATAGCAACCATTAGATGTTTTCATGCTTGATGTTATGCTAAATTGAACTGCACTGTACTTATTGATCTGATTACATGTAAGTTGAGCTTTTTTTTTTTCATTTTGTTGCAAGAAACATTCATGTAGAAATGGTGGAAAGCAATAAAAATGAAAATTTTGTTGTTTATGGTCTGAATCTGTCAGACTGTTGGCTTGTTTTTTGTCCAGATGCTTTGGAATACTAGAATTTGGTCTGTCCAACACATTTAGTCTTTTTTTAATGCTTAACTTTGTTCCTACACCCAAATCTATTAAATAGCTGTTCTTAAAGTAGATGTTCCTTTATTGTTCAGGCCTAAAATGAGGAAGCCACTGCATTAAAGGAGTATCGTATTTAGGATTAATTGATACATTTTAAATGTTTGCCGTTTTAATATTCTTATCTGACCTCTTTATCTGGCTCCAAACAGGTACCTCAGCATGTCCTCGTGGTCGATTCTACTGCACCAACCTTGGTTTTAGGCCGCACTACATCCCATCATCTAGAGTGAATGATGGCATCTGCGGTAAGGCTTTAACTTTACGTCAAGTCGTACCGGTTAGGGATATAAAATAATTATACATAAAGGACTATAAGCTGCTACTTCTTTTCCCCATGGGGCTTAAAAGAAGTTGCCGCTTTTCTGTGGCTTTTTTCTAACCGTCACAGAGGGAAGTCAAAGTTGTAAATGACAGAATAAGGGGCTAATTTTCATTTAGCACTAGAACATACAATCAGCAGGGACGACTGAGAGCAAATACCCCGAATTCACACATTTTGACATTTATTTGCTGCATTAAAGGTGCCGAACTAATGAAGAAACCCTACTCCAGGGGCTATATGTAGAGCTCCCCCTACAGGTTTGGTGGGAGACAGTTCAGTAGATATCAGCAGCTTATAGCCCAGTACGGTTACTACTGATTCGTTCCGGAAGCACGATCCGTTCTGCGCATGCGCCATTAGCTCGTTTACGCATGCGCATCCAGATATACTTCTGGGGTCGTCCTCGATTAAAAATACCTAAATAATGTTTTCCCTTCCCAAAAATAATAAATGTACTAAAATATGATGTGTTAAATGTTAATAATGTATTTCTTGAGAAAATAAATGCTTTAAAATCCTTTCTTTTATCAGTCGTCTCTGCCCGATCTGCTACTTCCGGGAGTTAACTTTTTCAGCTTTGGATATAAATATAGATCTAGTGTTATTGAGTTTTATGTTTTGGTTTCATTTTAACCTTATGCTATATAGGGCGTAATCTAAAGAAAGAAACAACTAAAATAAAGATAAACATGGTTTAATCATATTTCACCGGACTGCTCTGAGCATGTCTGAAGATGATGTCAGAGAAGCAGTTTAATGTAGAGCGCATAAAAGTCATAAAACATTTTTTTACAGATGTGTATTACTATTCTTTAGTGAGTTAAGGATAGAAATAAGTAGTTTTTGTACCATAATTGCAATATTTATGAACACCTGGATATATATCTGTTCGCACATGCGCAGAATGGATTGTTCTGCCGGGACGGATCGGGTAGTGACACGGCTTATATATGCAAGTTTTCCTGTTTCTTCAAAAAAATGTAATAGGTGTGGCTTATAGTCAGGTGCTCTATATTCTGGAAAATACGGTACTCTGATTAGAAGCAATGTTTTTACTCAGCAACAGTTTTTTAGGCTTCAAAAGAATAATTACTAGACATATTCACCTGAAATTAAACAACCTAGTTGTATGAATTATTAGATTTTATCATGTAAAAGTGTATCCATTTAGTTTCTTTCTCATTAATGGCTTCTGCAAACATGGAAAAACAGCTATGTCTTGTTTTCTGTGAAGGAAAGAGCAAAATAATCCTGCTAATCCCTGTTTTTTTCCTCTCAAATGTATTCTTTATTGCTACTTAAAGCCTGAATACCATACTTTATTATAATGGATGGTTTGTTACCACATTTCTTTAATGCTTTTGTTATTTAGGACAAAAGCAGAGGAGCGTTTATGTGATCATAGAAACAGTAAGACGACACAAAGCTTAAAGGAAAAATACAAAGGACACATTTCCTCAAGCCTTTTCACCCTTACCACTTTAATTTCACTCTCCTTTCCACTTGTCTTTTCATTCCATCGCTATACACACCACACCCATTTAAAAACCAAACCAAACGTAACAACTTTTCTTCTTCTCATCTGTAATTCAGATAATTTGCGTTACCGCTTCTCTTGGTATTAAAAGTTTATATTCTGACGGGGACTGATGGGCTTCTGGGTACATGTGAGAGCCAAACTACCTGGTGAAAGGTCACATTTACTTTGATCTAAAAAATAAAAATAAGAAGACTTTCAATTCGTAAACCAAAGATAAAAACTGCATTTTCCACCTTCCTTACAGCTGCTATCATCTACTAACACGTTCTGTTAATATAATACCAAAGTCAATATGGTGCATAAATACAAAGTCTTGTCGTGCAGGTAACAGCTAGAATTTATTTTTGATCCCACTGTTTGATTTTAGATATACTTAGACTTAAGGGCAGATTAGATTTCTGCAGCCGCACACATCAAATGTGACTGCGCACAGAGACAGATTTGACGGATGCAGAGGCTATGCGTCAGAAGCATAAATTGTCCTTTAGACTCAACTTTATTTATCCCTTAGGATTCACTCCTTCAGGGAAAGTCTGGGTCCAGTACCTTATATAGAGTACAAAGAGTTAAAGCAAGATGCTGTTAAAGATCAAAATGTGACAGACAATATAAAAGGAGTGTATAAAGTACAAAAACGCATTGAAAAAAGAAAAAAGTTGTAATGTCCTGGAATATGTTTCCCTTAGATAAAAAAAAATCTGCACAGTAGAGAGCTAAGGGAAGACTGCATGGTATTTGACGTGGATTATTGCACTTGCACTGCAGAGATCGGACTGGATCAGATAGAAAAGAATCAATTCTAAATCCTAAGAGTCAGAACAGATTCTTGAAATTTGAAGCGATACTGAGGCCCTACATAATACCGGTTTTAAGATGCTTTCCATCAGCCAAGATAAGATACTTTTGATGGCTCTTGTTTAGGAGAAGCTTGGCATAAATAATATAACAGTTCACAACCCGTTGGTTGTGAACCTTTTTCTGCCACAGTTTTTCCTTCCAATTAACTTTCATTTATACGCTTGGGTACAGCACTCGGCACAGCTTCTTTATATGTTTAGTAACTCTCAACTTTCTCTTTTTGCTATTAAAGTAACTTTCCCAGTTTTCCCAGTCTTTCCCACGTTTGCATGACCACCAAAGTTATTATTATTTTATTTTATTTTATTGTTATTAGCTATAATCATCAATAAGATTAGAAATAATAGTTAGAAATGTCTCCCTCCTTGTTATCTATTTATTTATTTATTTATATAAGGGTTGTCTTAAACTTAATTACTGACCTAAAATTTTAGTTATAATTGAATTATAATTATAAATTTTTTTTAAAATATAGTATTAGGCAACGGTGCATAGTGCTCAAAAGCCTTTTTATAATTAACTGACCTTTTCAATCTTTTTATTACCTGTCCAGTATAGTCTAGTGACTCAATTTAACAGAAAAATAAATAACTTTTAGCTTTTTTCATTTTTGCTTTTTTTTGGAATGTCTGTATAAAGTTTGCTTTACAGAATCAAAGTAAGTATATTCTTCCCAAGGCGTATTTATCAGACTTGAAAGACTATCTCTTTTTTTTGTATGGATCATATTGATTTAACAGCTGTAGACCTTTTTTAGACCGAGTTGCATGAATTTATCTGGATGGATTTATTTGGGTTTTCCTTTGTTTGAAATGTTTTACTGTGCGTACATTCATCATCACTTAACAGCACAATGAATTCATGTCGAACGACTGCAGCTGATAGAACAGCAAAGATTGCAGCTCATAGATCAGTTTTCTATATCGGTAAGAACTTCAAGGTTAGCAGGAAGGAAATGAGCCCCATGCTGAAGACTGTTGAAGTAGAAAGCTGTTTGTACATAACTGTGTTACCATCAGTGCAGAGCTTGCAGAGCTGTCTGTTGCGTGTTCATCATGCACAGAAAAACGAAGAATTTGTTCACTGGCTTTTACATGAGAGGCAGCAATGAAGCAATGTCCAAAACGGCTCCCATTAGACAGGTTAAAGCCTTTTAACCCTTTATTGGGCAAGTTACTGTTTTTGATCACTTGCATACTCCTTACAAATGGAGTCCCCTCTGTCCCTCAGTGACGTCTAGAAGCACAAGATCAATATCCAGCAAAGATGCTGCTATGTGGATGCATATCTTATTTTGGCATTTGACCAATAAAATGAGCCCTTGAATTATATATTACTTACTGTACATTAAGTTGAAAAATAAGTTAACAAAAAAAAGGTAAAAAGCTAATTGAAAAGTGAAAAAGTAAAGTTTGAAAGGTAATAAGCCTGTTTAACATCATATTTAGGTTTATAAACTAAAAAATGTAAGTGCCAGTATCAGCATTAATGCCTCTAATTATGCTGTACCAAAAATGTGTTTGTTTTACTCTCAGGGTGCTTTTCATTAATTTCTTAAAGAAGCACTTTTGTTATTTTTCTTAATTTATTCAGGGAAAGTTGGATTTCCTTGTTATTACATTGATTACACATTATTTTTTGCCATCAAAATATCATTTTTTTATGTTACAAAGGTAATAAGGTCTTGTCCTGGATTCCAATAACACTGTTGGCTTGAAATTTAGATTTTCTAAGTATTTCCCTGAGTGCCCTACAAAGGGTTAACTGAATTTTTTTTGAAATCATTATTATTATAATCTATTTTTGTGATCTTTATCCTATTTTATATGTTTTTAATCTTTGCTATCAGGCAGGTGAATGTCCCCTATCGGGGATTAATAAAGTAACTATCCATCCTTCCGTCCAACTTAATCTTTTAATATAAGTATTTAATTTTTATAATGTTATGCTTTTTGTCTCAAATAAAATAAAAAACATAAATATGTTGCCTGGAAGGTAGTAAGGAATAGAATAAATACAAAATAATAGCATATTATAAACCTTTATTTATAAAACTGGAGCTCCTCTGAGTAACTCCCTTATAATCACAT